GTGTCCGGAGAGATTGGAAGAATCCAACCTCATACACAAGTCAATAGTCAATAAAAATTTTCTTGAACATTCAAGTGGTGTTGGAAGCTCTTGGCTCCTACCGAGCAACGTATAATTGCCAAAAACGGTTCTCCTCGATAGGAAGACTTAACAGATTGTCTCTGGTCTGGATTCCTGCCCTGGCTGCTGACTCCTTACAAAGGAGGACCAGAACCTGTCATTGGCATCGCTTTAGGCTTTGCCAAATGAAGATTGGACACCTGGATAGCAAGACTTTTGGCAGGATTGATCCACTCCAAGGTGATTATTCACCTTTTGAAGCTTGATACCAAACAGTTGTTGGACTACAGAAGATATGATCTACGATGTTTAACAGACCTTCTTAAAGGTCACTGTCATTTGGGAAATGATGAAACAGCAGAGCACATACTTTGTGCCTGTGCCGCACTATCATTTATGATTTCTAAACGAGTTGGTATCTTAGCCGCATTTGTAATTTATGATTTCTCGATGTGCGTTTCAAAAATTTCACCAAATATAATGCGACTGAGCGATCATTTTCGACACTTCATTCACATAGAAACAACGGGCATTTTGGTCAGTTCAATTAAAGGGATTCATTTCTATTTCACCATTTGGCAACATAGGTTATAGCTAATAAAGGACAATGAATCTGTTACCTGTATGAGACAAACAAAGATGACATATTTCAGAGGCGTACTGTTCTGTTTACTTATGTTCCGTGTTCCGAGACATTCTGTGACATATGAAATTTTGTGNCTAACCTATCTTCCTCTATATAAATAAATAACAAAACAACTTTTGTTTATGTGGCTTGTGGAGGTGGTATTGAACTATAATTTATATTTTGCCTTAATTGTTGATTTTTAAAGATAATTTTCCTTTTTCAAAGTAGAATATCTAGGTACTTATAAATTATTTCAACTTGATATAGGCGCTGTTGCCAATAAGTGTATTAGGAACAAATCCCTTTAAAAATTGAAACCTAACATTTGAAACATTAATTTGAATACTTTTCGAAGAGAATTTGCGAAACTCATGAATTAAATTGAACTTTATTTGTTTTTCCCAATACAACTTCGAACAAAACTAAATATGTTTTATTGAACAGTGATCATAATTCAAATGTAAAAACAATTCGAAAAGCAATGACCGAAGCCATCACTATCGTTTGCAATTACTTTCAATATCTAACGGTGGTGTTGAGGCTAACGATCGAGTCTATCGCACCAAAGACCTGCTTTCAATTCTCCAACGAAACCTTTTTCATGATGTCATGAAACAAAAATGTGTTGAGCGAAAAGATGGGCTGATGTAAACGCGTCACGTGACTGGGCGGTCTGTCTCGTTGAGGGATACGTTGTTTAAAACAATTCAATTAACAAATTATGAAAAAAAATCATATCCTATGGTAATAACTGCCATTGTTCAATGTGAAAACAGACATAGCTAAATATCAATTGAAAAAAAATTATCAGCAATTTTTAGATATTTCATTTTGCAATAGTTATAAAAAATCATAACTAACAAATTGATAAATTTTTATGAACTTTTATCGCAGGATCGTATGAAGTATATATAAGAAAAAGGGCTCCACGAAGTTTAAAATTTATAGGCTTTTATCCCATTATTTATGCCAACGGAGATTGGGAAAAAATTTGTTGGTTAACAATTGAATAACTTTTTGAAAAATTGTGATAAAACTTTTTTTCTACGGGACTCGATTCATTCATACATTTTATGTTATAAAAAAATTATTTCTTTTGATAAATTATCTTTAGCGGCAGCGCGCGCATGCCGTAACAGCCGCGCGTAACCCTATTTTCAACGTCAAATTGAAATTATAAATAATGGAGATAGAGTTTCGGGAGTTGAAACTTTTTTATCGGAAATTTCCTCCTCTTTGACGAACTTTTCTCAAAATTGCTTAAATAGGTGATCATCTTCAAGTGATCATCTTGAAGTGATTTTGAGTGAGTACTTTCCAAAGGAATTTGTATAATCCGTTTTCTAACTCATTTTGAAGAGATTCTCATCATCTTACTTCATAATACAAATTGGAATTTTCAATATTCCAATTTTGTTTCGATAGATTTCGAAGTAAATTATAAAATTTACTTTGGAGGTTGTAGTACAAATGAAATTAATGAAGATTCATTGATTATTGTTTTATTAACGCAATTGGTTACGACAGTGTATGTGGCCACAAAATGACATCAGGGGATTGACCTGCAGTTACCATTGAAGTGTGGTCATGGCCACAGATTTCTGTTTTGATAAAAAGTCACTGGTTCCGGTGTGTATAGAAAAAAACTGAAAATTAGCTGGGTATTCACCTAATGAGCCTCTACCGCATGTTTAAAATATTCCCACGACTCACACCAGGGCGTGGAGGCCACATTACTATTGCGCGAATAGAAATGAAACTGAAATCTGGCAACTTGTGTTTTAACGTAACAGCCTTCTGTGGCCTTATCATATAATAGTGAGTCAAAGCGGTTTCATTTGTGAGATAAAAATATGGCATTCACATTTACCCCGTGACAATAATATTTAAATATTTTCTCCATATGACCCAATTTACAGATTTATCAGGTTATTGAAATATTTATGATTTTGAATAGCCAAATATAAAATATCTCCTCCAAGCTCGGTGGCGTATGGTGTTTGACGGCATAGCCGCTGAATACGTATGTATCCCACTTTTCATCGGTGCGAACCCGATGGCCGGCAACAGGACTTTTTTCAATTTTCTGTTCTGCTGCGGGTTTGATGTGTAACCCGTGTATGCCTTGCTCTAGGCAAATGTGTGATGCAGGTTGCACATATACCAATCCTTATGATCGGTGGGTACGGTCATCGACTCCCCGTGCTGGGAATCGCACGTAAAGGTAAGACCTCGTCAATCCTTAGGTCGGACAAGTCTCTACTTTTGAGGCTTGTCGCTCGTATGGGGTCGACAACGTAACGAACGTTAACGTAAAAACTCATTTTAAACCCATTTATACCCATTAGACTATCTATATTTCTTGCTTCAAACAAGAAGAGTATTACAAAAATCAAAATTTCATGGCCCTTCAGATACATCGTTATTTATCAAACGTGCTGGAAATGCCATTTCTATTAGATTAATTATGCTATAGTGTAAGCTATCTCCTGATGATGATACCTAGATTAGTGAAACGTGCATCGAGAAGAGTATTGCAGTCTGGTGTGGAGAAGTACTGTTCTAGAAATTGATTCAAAGGTTTCGGGGTTCTGCAAATAATTTTAGAAGAATAGCTATTAACTTGTTGGACATAAAATAAAAACAGTTGTTGTGGAAGAAGCAAAGTTCACTATTCATTTTTTTCGTATTTTCAGTTACTGTCTCAATCTTAGGCCACACTCATAACTCAAAATTATGTAACTTCAATCATATCAATAACATTTTCGTCAAAGCATAAATGAAAATCTGAATTGGCTTCAATATTGTAATGTCAAAATAATAGACGAATGAGTCCATACACGATATTATTCATTTCAAAAATAAAAGAGGACCAAATTTAAAAAAATATTGGTATAGAAAATTTTCTCAGTGAGCATCCATTGCTTCAGGAAACGTATAGACTCAAACAACCGACTAACACCCTGATACTCTTGTGGAAATGTGTTGGCAAATGACAAAAGTTTCAAAATATATATAAATTTAAGAATGAGAGAAAAAATGGAGCTGTGAAATCATCAAAACATTTTCAGGAAAAAACCTGTGCCTGTTAATGAGTAATACAAACTTTTAATCAGAAGAACAGTATTCTCATTTTATTTCAAGAAAGAAATAGCAACTCTTGACATAATAATGGGAGCCTTGAAAAAAGAACAAAGTATGTCTCCATGATAAAAATAAATTGTGAAAAACTTTAAAACTTTAAAGCAAGTTAATTTCAGCCGTGAAAAACAAAACAGCTCATGTCAGGTTGCAGAAATGTCAACGACTAAAAAATCTGAGAAGTACGTAGACAATTTTTATGTCTAACCGTAGCTTTAGCGATAATGCCGAATAACTTAATAAAAATAATAGGCATTTAAAATACAATAAATGTAATAATATAACTCATTTTATGGTCTCAAAAGATTTAAGAAACTTTGATGGTTCGTTCAATGCAAAAATATGAAAGCCTCTTTGGTATAGATTATCAATTCAGTGAAACTTCTTAACGGTTTATATTATAAATTACATGGGAGTTGAGTTCCAAAGCACAAAGAGTTAAAATACCTTTCAGACGCGGTATCACAAGATTACCCCATTGTTTTTTATCAGTAAATATGCTAAAACTGATACCCGTTCACCTGAATTTTGTCGAACCCGTTCAAAAAATAAATGACTCAAAATTGTTATTTTCAATAAAGTTCACTTTTATCAAATATTAAATTTGTCGTAAATCAAAAAGTGAACTAAATCGTGAGACAAAATCTATATTGTAAAAGTATTCCTCAAGTGAATATGGAGTATTATGTTTCATATATCATATGTTCATGTATCAGATTGGTATCCTTTACGAAAAATAAATGGGATGTGTATAGGATATTCCTCATAAAATCAATGAAGAATGGTGCATTGTGATGCGTAAATTCGGGATTCTACTGTTCACTTAATCTCAAGACTTCAATCCACTTTCCATGGCTATTCAATGATATTAGATAAATGTTTAGATATATATATATATATATATATATATATATATATGTGGTGTATTCAACATTATTAACATTTATACGTTGTTACTAATATGTTTTACTTTTGTTGAACAATAGGTAAGTATGATTAACAATTTTAAAAAATGAAATGAATATTATAAAACATTATGCTGGAATTACGATGTAAAATTCCTCAAGCTTTTAATCCACATTCAGTGGCCATCCCTTTAGTAGTTAGTGCCTAGTTTGTTCTGTAATCTTCAGTTTCATTTCAACATTACATCAGTGAAGAGTGAAATAAAATGTACTACGAAAAAGGAACATTCATTGCTGTTTACAGTGATCATGGTAAGTATTGACTTCAATTTTCTCTTAATTTCTGTTATAACCCTGGGAGCAACAACTTTCAGAATTTTTTTAATAAGTAGTCGTCCATATGAATGAACATGATTTTTCTCAACAAAATTGCAATTATGATTCTATTAATTTTTTATTCAACAGGAATGGTAGATACTTATTTTCTTTTCCTAACTAGTTCTAAAGCTGGATTAAACTCTTCAAGGGGAGTGTAAAAAACTGCGTTAAACAGTGAATCGGGTTACGAAATACACAATATAGTTAGTTATATAGGAATGAAGCGTGATCAATTGCAATATAACATATTAAAATCTATTTTTCAGTCACAGATTGACAAGATCAGACAAGTCTGTACAAGTTCATAAAAAATGTTTTTATACTCTGATGTATAACTCAGAATCCACGATTTTTATTGTTAATATGGTAACATGATTTTTGTATTTAGGATTACTCTCAATCTTCTTATTTCAATGAATTTATTATTATAAACAGAGGCGTACATGTATATAATATGAGATTCAGTAATAATATTCATGTTAACCCAACAAATAAATGAATTAAATCTCAGGTACTTAAACGAATTCAACAAATCACTTCAACACAAAAGTGAAATAGTCTAAGTAGTACATAAATCTGAAATTAGGAGTTTTTTGAAAAAATCCTCTGACACGTTGATTTTGATTACCCATATTTGTGACACTATCGTTATTCAAGATATGACGTCATCGAAAATTATTTTAAATGGCTTTTGTCTATTTCGACCACGCCATTTGAAAGAACGTGTCATTCTACATACATATCATTCAAATCCTAGTATGATTACATTAACATGTGTCTGGAAGTTACGACTTAAAATTAAAAGAAAAGCGATTCAAGGTTTAAAAGGACTAAATTTAATGATAATAATTTGTGAAAAATCAACTAAATTGAATGTTGAAATTGTGCACTGTATACCACCGTATACAAGAAAAATCTAGAGGTGACAAATCTGACGATCTGGCTGGTCACTCAATTGTTTTCCTTCTCCCAATCCAACGAGCCAGGACAATTAGATTTTTTTTACATATTTTGATGCTTTCTATTATTTACTTATATTTTTCTGAAATGTAAATATTCGTGTAATTGTTGTGGTTCATTACTGTCTTATGAGAAATATTCTGTATAGATTCTTCTATATTTTATTGACTTAATTTTTACCAGTCGATGAGTTCAGTTCTCAATGAAAAGATTTAAATTCATCTGTGTTAATAATGGACTATATTATTCTCAATGTTCTAGAACGTTTCGAACAAAATCTTAATATTTGTATGGTCTCGGGTTTGATAATTTAATTAACTAAGTTTAAAAAAGCCACTTGAACAGATTTATATTTTGAAATCATTTTTTGGCAAAAGATTCGAGTATTCTAAAATTTGAAGACTGTGGTAAAGAAAATTTCAATCTTTGTTTTATTGTTCTTTCATTCACAATGATATTTGATTTTTTAGGAGTGATTCTTACCGTCCTTCAGTGATAGAAATCAAAAAAATACAAATACAAATGGAAGAGATCTCTTTTTAATTTTGACTTATTTTGTGATAATGATTCTTTTTCGTATTCGTTTGGTCACCTTGTATGGTAATAATAATAATAAAATTGTAATAAAAATTCTATTTCTATTTAAAGTCGATGAAAAACAAATATTAGTGGTGAAATTAGGCGCCATTTATTGAATAAAACTTTAGTGTGAGAGACATACAGTATTACACATGCCTCATGAAGCTACAGTTTAGTGAAACAATTGTTGGTTTTATGAAATTGGTTCATGTAAATGACATTATTCAATTCAAACAAATATAATTTTTGTCTGCATGTCTGTTGATACAAAAATGTTTTTCAAGTAAAATTTTGGTGAACATTTTGAAATGAGCTTATATTTTTCTCAGAACCATTTTGGATAGCGCAATGTTTAGAAAGCATAAATGAAGGAGATCAACGAAAGAAGTTTACTATCAAATGGCTTGAAAGATCAAAACTACAACACAATGGGACTATTTTTTGTATTGCTGGAGACGATAAAATATTTGCAAGGAATATTATATGCTCGGTTACGATTACACGTTTAACAAGGTTTAGGTATTTGTTAAGTCAAGATGAAGAGAAAACAATTATAAATAGAATTAGTGAAGAAATTGATGATCCATATGAAGACAGTGAAGTTGGTTCATGTATCGAAACTGAAGAACTGTTGGAAACGAATGAAGAAAAATTTAAGAAATATGAAACCAATGACATAAATAAATTACCGAATTTTAATGAATTTCAATCCATGTCTGACAGTGAAATAATATCAGTATCTGATGTTCAAAAAAAAATATTGTTTTCATCTCCGGAAATGAATATATTAGAAACAGAAAATGTTACTTCTGGAAGTATTATGAAACCAGAACAAAGGATTACACAAAATTTTGTAATACAGCCAGAAAAAAAAATGGTATTTTTAATGATTCAGAAATAACATCAACAGAGGAAATAGTAGATGAGATGATGCCAATTGATAATTGTTACTCACCTGAGAAATTTCCATTAATAGAATGCAACAAAACGGTTATACTAGATGCTGAAAACGATTCCAATAATTATTCACAAAACAATGTATGCAATAGTAATAAAATTGTAATACTTTCAGATGAAATTATCAAACCTATGTCAAATACTTCTCCTAATGAAATGAACAAAGAAAATGAAGTAGCAAATTCTTCGAATATCTCAGAGCTAACCTGCCAAACAGGTCGAAGTAGGCTTGTAAATTCTAATAAGAAATATTATTCAGATAACAGTGAAAGTGAAGCAGACCCCTTTTCAGCTTCAGGTTCTGAATATCAACCATCAGATGAATCTTACGAAAGAAATCGATTTAAATATTCCTCAAGTCCAATGGCGGAGGATGAAAAACCAAATTGTGCCAATTTCGACAATCTGGGTCTTACTCCAGTAAAAGTTATATCTTCTCCAATTTCACTCAAAAATGAGGTTAATCCTCGTATTTCTTCCCTGCTTTCGCCCATTAACCAAACAAGCCATTCAATATACAGACATTCTTGTAACATTGAACAACATCCAACAACCAGTGATGACACTGACACTTCTAAAGAAATTAGTGGAAATATTTATTTTGAGCATTCACAAAAGAAACCTGATGGAAAACGGCTTTATAACAAAAGACATGCTTGTTACTATTGTAACAAACTGATTGGTAAAGTTACCAGGCATATCAAACTAGTTCATAAAAATGAAACGGAGATAGCCAAATTGCTCAGTATGGATGGTAAATCGAAGAATGTCAAAGAACAATTTTTATGTATTTTGAGGGCTGGAGACTATTATCATAATTGCAATGTTCTAACAACAAAAAAAGGAGAATTGATTCTCAGTAGACGTCCCTCATCATCCAGCTGTCTGAAACTAGAAGATTATGGTCCATGTCCGAACTGTCTGGGATTTTTCCAAATAGACTCACTATGGCGTCATGTGAAGCATAAGTGTCCAGTGAAAACTGCTCTGAAAAACCGCAGAGATATAAGAGGTGAAAGTGGTGCTCTTTTGAGCACTTGGTCAGAAACCAACACTTCACATGATTTCCAAAAAAAAATATTCTATCTACTTTCAAAACTGATGAGGTATCTCATACTTGCAAAAATGATATGACAATAATTAAATTAGGTGCTCTTTTATTTGAAAAATTCAGTGCACAACAACATGATTATATTCGACAAACAATGCGCCAACTAGGAAGGTTGCTATTACAAATGAAATCTTGTGATAAAAAAATATCCTCGTTATCAGAAGCCTTACGACCAGTTTTTTTTGATAATCTGTTAAAAGCAGTTAAATGTCTATGCTCGTCCTCATTTAATGATCAAATAGTTCAAAAATATGGGATACCATCTCTTGCTCTGAAAATAGGACATAGTCTGAGAAAATGTGCACAAATTGTGAGGTCAGAAGCATTGCGCAAGGGAGATTTGAACACAGATAGGGAAACGAAAGGTTTTATGGATATTATGGACCTAGAATGGCGTCATAAAATATCTTCTATAGCACTGAAAACGCTACACGAGAGAAAAATTAATTGCACAGAAATGCTTCCGATAACTTCTGATATTCTGAAACTGAATCATTATCTGGACGTAGTTATAGAAACATGCCTATTGAATTTTTACAGTGAAGTTGACATATCCCAACACTGGCATAAACTCTCGTCTGCAGTATTGTGCAGAATAATCTTATTTAATAAAAGAAGATCAGGTGAAGCATCTAGAATGACACTAGAACAGTATGCATGTCGCCCAGACTGGAAAGAACAATGTACAACTGAACTCAAAGATTCTCTCACTTCCTTAGAGAAAACTCTCGCCAATAGATTAGTGGTGGTAGAAGTCCATGGTAAATCTAGAAAAAATTTCAAAGTCCCAATTCTTCTTACGCCAGAACTGAAAAAAGCAGTAGATACACTGATTAAAACAAGGCACTTGGCAAATGTCTATTCTAAAAACGTGTACGTATTTCCAAGATCGGGAACTTCGCTGACAAACCTGAGAGGACACGATTGTTTAAAGCAATTCTCAATAGCTGCAGATCTTCAAAGTCCGGAATTAATCACCAGCACCAAATTGAGGAAGTATGTAGCTACTGTGGTTCAAGTTTTTGACTTAAAGGAATCAGAGTCAGATTGGCTTGCTCGGCATCTTGGACATGATATACGAATTCATAGAGACTTTTATAGGTTGCATGAATCAGCTGTCGAGCTCACTAAAGTGAGCAGGATTCTTCTGGCCGTTGATAGTGGTACAACAGCAAATTTTGCTGTTGTCTTTGGAAGACATTGGTTTGAGTGGTGAGTACTTTCGTGTTTTTTCTTTGAAGTATATGCTAAAAAAACTGACAATTTCAAGAATTTTTTTATGAATTTTAGGTTTGACAAAAGTGAAAATTACTTTTGTAAAATAGGAAATAAGAAATTTTTTAAATAATTTAATCATCTATTTCTATTGTTTTGACATTTATCAAAGTAGAATCATATGATGATAGTCAAAAAACTGCCACGTAATGAGTCAAGTTTGAAATTTGTAAAAAATGTTCCAAAATTGTCAATTTTTTGTAATAATGAATATATTCTCAGCTTTCATTAACTCAACAACAATTTTTTTCTCATTGAGTTCGCAACACAATTAAGTTAATTTGTCTCGATTTATTCCTTATAACTTTTGAAATATTCCATTCACCAACTAATTGAAAAGAAAAAGGTATTTTATAAATAATTGAAAACTTTTGAAAATCGATCTTTGTTTAGAAGAATTTTTAAGTAATTCCTTATTTCCTCGCCGAATGGACTAGTGTAGTACCCTACAACGAGTGATGTACTAGTCTGCTTGAATTTGTGGCCACTTGAATTTGCCGCCCGAGGAAAGTGCACCAGATTGCTTCCTCTGGATCCGGCTTTGATATTCAGTAAATTGATACGTATAGTCAATCTTCACATTTTGCGAAATAAAAATTATAGTTACCTTATATATTTTCATTTTCTTTTTTTTTAAATACATAAATAAGATTGAAAAAAATTGATTGAGGACATGCAAATATTGTAATGGGGTTATTATTCACACTTAGATTATTACAGATGAGGAGACTAACTTTAAGTTACATATATTGGAATAAATTCTCTGAACCACTTTTGGTTTCATCTCCCTAACAAATAGAACAAAAATGGACTCGCTTAATGCTAATTCAAAAAAGCAAACCTTAAAAATATGAAAATATCTTAATATACCCTAAAAATGTAGAATGAATCTCATTATTGATTACAGAATTGCCAGGCCTTGACTACAGTGATAGTGAGGACGAAGATTTATGTGAAGTTAAGGAAGCGACTGAAAATGAGGAAAATGTAGAAATGGATGTAGGCACTAATGAAAACGAAAAAGATATATTCCATAAAAACGACTCTGTACATGAATCAATTTCTGCCGCAATTTCCAAAAAAAGAGGCGAGTAAAAGATTTAATTTTATTGTTGTTTCAAAAGTATAGAATGTGACCTTTGGTTTTCATTAGATAGTATTCATTATAGTTATTCATATATAATCATCTACATGCTGTTTTTATGAACGATAAAACAAAAGCATTCAAAATGTCAAACCTATTTGTATTATTTGCTACTCTATAAAAATTAATAATAAAGAGAGTTGTTCGGGAAAACTCTGGAAGGGAAATGGAGAAGTAATTATATCTGTGTTTACTGACATTTTTATAAATATATTTTAAAATTATGAGGCGAGTGTATTTTTAAAAGGGGTTGAATTTTGTTATGAATACCTTTCGGTTTTCTACTTTTCAGGTAGGGAAAATTCACAAATAAAGAAAAAAACTTGAGATTGAAAGTATCAATGAAACTTTTTACCAAACATGTGGGTTTCTTTCCCAAATATTTAAAAATATATTTGAGACGATGACAAAAGTTTCAATTTGAATAATCCTTTTTATAGTTCATAGATTCATTATCGCACAAGTTCATGAATAACTTTAATAACTTTCAATGCACGAGCATTTGTAACTTTGTAATACTCTAATATTTGAATTCATTATGTGAAAAGATATTGTCATATATATGTCTCTATTTTTTAGATGTCACAGTTGGGGTGAAGACATCAAAC